TCTGACGAAATCATACAATAAACAGAAGGAGTGCTGCGATCACAGTAATGCGATATGATTGAAGGAGCAGGCACCGTACTACATGGTCTGCCTATATAAGGCGAAATCGACTGATGGGACAGCAGTATCACATCGGTGGTGCACCAGCGCTGCAGAGGGAAGAATGCAGTAGTAGCGTCAGCGTAGAATAGATTCACTATGTTTGAATTAGATGTTTTTGTATCAATAAATGTGTGAGGTTCTGTATCACTGTGTGCATTGAAATTCTTTTTTTTTTGTTTCAATAAAGATTTGTTGGCCTATTGGACTGGGCAGAAGTTACGTGTTCGTGTGTCTCAAGATTGCCAAAAAACGACAGTGTAACAAAAGACGAATTCACTTGCGTGATTTTGTTTGACCATTTGAAACTCTAACCGACAGCGTTTTGTTTGGTGGCTTGTTGTTGCACTCCATTCTTCGTTGTGCATTCCAGATTGAGTGAAATCGATTGCACATGCTCACCAGCTGAGGCTGCTGCATTCGTGAACAGGTCGCGCAAACATCGTAGTTTCTGCAAACCGATACGTTGGCAGATTCGACTGCGTTTCTGATGTGGGTGTAACTTTTTTCGGCCCTCAAAAACTGAACAGCATAAGTACCGTATTGAGTTTCAAATCTGTCTTCCGCTGTAGAAATAGCTGCTTGAAACCGCGCCTCACTCGAGAGAGACAGCAAGCTAGAGTTTGGGCCGCTGGTCAGCGCGCTAGCGATATGCAGTTATCTAGCAATGAGCAATTTGTGCGGGACGCCCCAGATAATTTTATGACAAGCTTTCTCCACCTGAATAATATCCTGGGTAAGATTGGTTGCTTCAGAAAGTTGTTCCTCCTGCAGATACAATGGTATTTTTCTTCGCTTGATTTCTTCAGCCAGTTCGCTTATTAGCACCATTCTGTTGTTCATTTCTGAAGTCGACTTAAGCATCTGTAAGAAAAAAATCATTGTTTTAAACCAGCCGGTTTCACAAGCCTACTAAAACGCAATGCCAGTATGATCGCCTCTGTGCGGCTCTAGCTTATCTACACCCAGCGTTTGGTGTCCGTGGGAACCTTCGATGACCAAAGTACATTAGCTTTGGCCATCCGAAGGTTCCCATGCGTAGGAATTATCGCCACTTAATAAGCTAAAGAAAACTCAAAGAGCTTCATCTTATGAAGTATCTTTTTTAATGAATAGTGTCCATCATGTCTTCGATGCGGGCTTATTTCAAATTATCAAATCTTATATTCGAAAATACAGAAAAAAGACAGAAAAAGGATGGGAATTGTAGAATAATAAATAGAGGCAAGTTTTTCCCACAATCAGAAACAATTTTTGAGCGCATAACTTAAACCAAGACTGGGACACACCAAGACTGAGGGGGGAGGGAGGTGTGATTATGCATTTTTGCACCAAACTTGAAGTAATGAGGTCGTTAACTGCATAAATGGTTGTCACTTTACCTTGTGTGCTCATTACCGTGAATCCTTTTAAATTTTGCGTAAAGGAAAATGAACAATTTCCGCTTAGCGGTTATTCCTTGAAAATGACCTGGCTGTTCAGTGAGCAATTTCCTCTGCCAAAAGTTTAAGCGGTCATACAGGAAAATCATGCATACCTTTGAGGCTGAATTTTAAATCTAAGTTGTACTTGAACATGGAACATTTCTCTAAAATTCCAGCCTTCCAGTTTTTCTGATTATTGATAGTTTTCGTGCCAGGAATTTCAAGTGGACATACATGAATACCGTATACATACCTGGAGGCTGAATTTGAAATCTTTAAATTGTACGTGGATGGGGAACATTCCTCAAAATTTCAACTTTCCAGTCTTTTTGGTTCCTGAGTTAGTAATTTTTTAGCCAAATCTTTCACATGACCGTCGTGAGTACAACAAATGCCTAGGGGCTGAATTTAAAATCTTTAGCCCAAATATGCATTAAGAACATCCCTGCAAAGTTTTAGCCTTTACCTTGTCTGGTTGCCGGAACTGCTTTCATGCCAAAAAATTTGCTATTTTTTTAAGGCGTCCGTATACGGTACCCAGGCGTAACGGATGATAATATTAACCCAGGCTGGAATGCACCAGGCTTGCCGGTGCGATCGTGTGTTTCACACCAGTTTTGAAGTATTCAAGCCGTTAATTGCATGCATGTTTGCTGCTTCACATCTGCCTTTTGCGCTCATCATTGTAAATTTTAAATAATTGGCCAACGCATCGGCTGCCGATACGAAGATACGTTTTTCGCATAGTTCTCCGCAGTTTTTGTTGCTGCCAGCACCAGTCTTTCCGGCAGATGCTTCTAGCTAAAAGAATTGAGACTAGCCGCCAGGACTGTCAGGAAACATTTCTTTAAAATTTCAACTTTCTAGCTTTCGTGGTTCTCAAGTTAGCAGTTTACAAAAAAACTTTCACGAGTTCGTATATGGAAACCACGTATATCCCGGGGGTTGCTTATGAACTGACTGGAACCTACATGAACGAGGAACATCCCCTTAAAATTACAGCTTTCTAGCTTTTCAAGTTTCCGAGTTAGCAACTTACCCGAAAAAAACTTTAGCAAGCCTGTACGTAGGTGTCACGCATAACCGGTGTCTGAGTTTGAGCTCACTGAGGCTTACATTGGACAGAGAACATCCCCTTAA